TAAAATAACTAAAGTTTGACTGTTTTATAGAAGCACAAATTGAGGAGATTTCAAGCCAAAGTTTCCATCTCCAAAGTCCTCAGTCCTCACTGACACGTGTGTTAGGGGTGGGGTGGGGGACAGTAAGGCAATGGTGGGGGGATGTCTTCTGACCTTGAGGCAGCTGCTATGTGCAGCTCAAGTATCAGCCAGAGCAGCTGCGCAGTTAATCCACCCAAGAGAGACATTGCTTTAGAAACTTCTAGTCTCTGAATAGCTCTCAATAAATGTTTTGGACAGATTTCTTCCAGAGGTGGACACTAAGCTGCACTGAGTAAAGAGGAAGGGAAACTAGGAGGAAGCTTTAATTGCTGCTACAACTACCACTTTGAGCCACAGTTGTTCTTCCAGTTCTCTGGTGGCTTATTGGAGGTAAGAGTTTCATAGACTTTTCTGCTCGGGCTCACTTTGAACTGTGATCCTCAGATCTCAGCCTCATGATTAGCTAGGATTACAAGCAGGAGCCTCTAGCTCCAGCTATCTGTCAAAATTTACACATATTCCTAATAAAATGCACAATTGTCCATGGGGAGTGTGGGATGAGGAAAATTCCTGTGTTAACACTCAGGTGTACTTTGTTAACCATTGTAGGAAGAAGAAAGACAGTAGATGGAAGGAAACTGAATCAGCCGATGGCCAAAACAAAGCATGTCCAAAGAAATGAGGCTTCATAGACATTTGCAAGGGCAGCTGTTTTGTTTTAAATGTGTCTCCAAAATTTCATATGTTGAAAACATTTTTTTGACAGTACTTGGGCTCAAACACAAAGCCTCCTGCTAGGAAAGTATTCTACCCTTGAGCCAAGCCTCCAATTCGTCAAAATGTCTTCAACTTCATATACTAAGTATTTGGGGAGTTAGAGTCTATACGAGGTAACTGGGACTAGATGGGGTCATGTAGAATACACAAGTTGGCATAACTATTTATTAGAAGAGATAGAGAAAACTAAGCGAACATGCTTTCTTCCTCTGGCTATATAGTGCTGTCCACCTAACCACGAAGTCCCTCACTAGATCCTAGAACCCTGTTTTTAAATATCACAGCTTCTAGAGCTGTGAAATCAGTAAGTCTCTGTTCTTTATAACTCACCTGCTCTGTAGTAATTAGTTATGTCAATAGAAAATGATCTAAAATAGCAGCTAGTCTATCTTCAGTATCTTTCTTCTACCTTGTGACTGCCTTCTTTTTGGATTTTTACTAGGGCATCTTGTAACTTTTGCAAGATAAATTTAAAAATCAACATATAAAAATATCAATATTATTTTTTAACCACAGTGTTTGCATGAGCAGGCCACCCAAAAGGGTAGAAACAGGAACAATTCTGCCAGTTCACTTTATGGGATTTCTGCACAGTTTTCTGACAATCGGGTATGACAAGATTCAAAATCCACCATGAAGAAGGATAGCTGGGAACCAATGCTTCCTTCGAAATTCAGATTCACACAGGGCTGAATCCAAACCTTGTTCAAAGATTTTTTTTCTTAGATCCAATATACAATAAAATGTATACACCTTAAAAAAAATAGAAGCTCTGCCACTGAAAGAGCCAGAAGATGTCTAGTTTTGTCATGACCAGTTTCTCACACTTAGTCTGGTTATGAGCTTGGGTCAAGGACAGGTTTCATCTCTGTGAATATGAGAAAAGCATTTGTGGTAGAACATTTGCCTACTTCTAAGGCTTGCAGTTCAGCGGATAGGAACTGAAGTGAGTTCACAGATAAGCAGTGAGACTAAGATGCTTCTGAGTTTCTAGGGCAACACTACTTCTTGCCCTGGGGCCATTTAGTAAAGTGACCACAAACACCAATGAATCAAGAACTCTGTATCATTCCCCAGATGTTCAAGCTAACATTAACAGTGCAGCAGGAAATTCCAACAAGCTAACCTCGCACAGTAAAATCATCTGGTAGACTGAGCTCAGAGATGGTAAAGGTAAACGAGGCCTGCAAACATTTTTCCTAGGGTTAGGAATTTGCTACCCTGGTGACACCTCTGCATCAGCCCATATCACTTTCAGGGGTTAGTGTGATATCAAATAGGTTTGTTTCTTTATGTAAAAGGTCCTTCCTCAAAGGCACAACTACACAAGCAATAGTGAATGTTAATCAACTGCACCCAAATCCCCTCCTCCAGGCTCCCTCCCTCCAGTTTCACCCTCATCTCACCACACAGGCACACAGGATGTCAGCACATATGACATGGACTTGGTGGATGGCAGCCATGAAGCATGACACTCCCCCTGCAGCCTCAGAGACTATTACAAGGGTTACACGTATGGTGACACAGCCCCCGAACCACATTCTCAGGATGTAAATAGAACTCTTCAGACAATTATTCAGATCCACAATTAGGCCCTGCTTCCAATATGGCATGCTGTTTTTTCTCTCCCCATGTTCAACCCCCTGAGTCCAACGAAAGCTTTCACTACTCTTTACCACAACTAATGTCAGGTGGAAGAGGTCTGCAGCTGGGCAGACTATGTAGATGCTCAGAACACTGGAGTGTGCACAGATTTCTGAGTGGCTGTTAAACATTGGAGTTGATTTTACTTGCACAGCTACAGACAGGGCAGGAACCCATGGAGATTCCACACCATTGCCTACCAAGCAGATAATAAGACAGAAAGGAAGTCATGGTGGGAGCTTCCACAAAAGTCAATGTTAACTCAGGGAAATGTCAAGGAGCCAGAAATAGCTAGTGCCTTTAGCACCTGGTCTACTTTTGAGCTCAGGATAAAGGGAGGTTGTGTTTAGGCCAATAGGGTCATTTACTCAAAAGTCTAAGAGGTTTGGATCGTTAAGTATGACTAATTAAATTGGTAACCTTCAAAAGACTACTCAGAGTAAGATGTCAGTCCCACAGCCAACCTCATAAGAATCATCAAGCAAAGAAATGAGATGTGTGACTTAAAATAAGAGCCAGGGACTATTGGGTGATGTTCTGGCTGTGAAGTGTGCATTGATCTTTGGCTGTTATTCCTTCAGATCTTCACTGCACTCCTCTTGCGGTGCTTGTGCCCAGAGCATCTTTTTCTCAGGGATTTTCTCTCTATAGGAAAATCCTGTGGATACTGAAGGTTCAAAGAGAACAGAGGAGTGACCTAGTCCATCAGTTCACTTACATGGGTATTGCTTAATATAGTGCTCCTGAGAAAAGTGATCCAGCCACCTCTTGGACATCACTGGGCAAGCAGAGGAAATACTGCTCCTTAATCCATGGTAACCTTGTCTGTTCCCAAGGGAGCCTCTTGCTGCTCCTCTCGCCACTGTAAGGTCAGTGAGACCTCACGGCATTGTGCACACCTTGTGTAGTTGGTCTTCTTTAACGGCCATCTGGAAGGTTTGCTCCTACTGGATTACTGAATAATTGCCCACAGAGTTACCTTTCTGAGCCCAGGGTCCCCTCCATGCAGGAACAGATAATGGAGTCAATCCCTTAGGGAAGATGCAGAGGCGAATGTGCTGTAGGGAGCTTGAGGCCTTGAATATTATCCATGAGCATGACTTAAGATGACTGAGCCTCAAGGTTTGGGGAGAAATTCATCCCTTGGCCTATAAAGAGGAATATTATGGAAGAAGCTACGTGAGATATTAGTCAAGGGGGAAAGAAAATAATTCCTACCCATGAAAGCAAAAATCAAGCATTGAATCTGACGCCAGATGTAGTGAAGTATAAGAAAAGCCAAGAGTGCTAGGCAGATTGCTAGCTCCTGTGAGAAAACAAGAAGAAAGCTTCAGGATATTATTGCAAATATATTTGTCGGTATCACTTAGATGGACTTGTTAATTTTGGGTTGGAGGCCTAGTATGTCTCTTCATAGGGTAATCACAGTACTGTTTTCAGTACTCTTCCTCCTCAATGTCTACTAAGTATAAGAATTCCCATGAACTTTCTAGAAATAATCTAGCCACTCCATTTTTTAAGCCTAAAAACCACCTCAGAAAGCTGCCTTGCACCACAGTTACTTATGCCCATTTTGCATCTGTGAAAACAAATATCTGGTACAAAATGATTTTATTTTTAACTTCTAAAAAATCATTTCCTATATATTACCTCATAAAATTGAGTCCCATTTAAACAGATACAGTGGGATAGCAAGTCATTTTTTGATTTGTTGACAACATGCCATTTGCTGTTTATAAACACCTGACGACCCAGGCGCACAGAACTTTGACTGCCAAGTTCTTGTCCAGACAACACCCCCCGCCCCACACACACATCACTTAGGAATGCTCATAAGTCTGCAGTGATCATGAACATTCTTCCTCATGAAGAAACTGTACAAAGATTTCTTCTATGGACCCTTTGAGGCATGCCACTATCTGACTAGGTGTTAGGGAGAAGACATGGGCTTCAAATCTTCATTTAAAAAAGGGAGAGAAAAGGCATCAAAAGTCTCTTTAAGAAGGGATGGAAACCTCTGCTGTCTTGCCCCCAGAACACAAGCTTAGGAAGCACAGATCTAATCAAGCCAAGACAGTGTAGCCAAACCTGTAAATATGATTATTTTCCAAAGCAGATTTAAAATGAATTAAATCTTTAGGGGTTGCTGGGAATAACACTGAAGCAGGTGGTTAGCCTTAGGAAGCCCAAGCAGGAAACAAGAAAGGTTGAGAAGGGGGCAAATGATATTGCAAAGAAGAACCAGGGATCCCAGCTACCAGTGCAGACAAAGCAGCTTTCAACAGCATGCCTCAGAGCCAGGCTTGCTTGTAGCCCACCCCTAGGAAACCAGGTGTGAGATCATCACACATGGGCACAGTAAAGGCAGACTTTTTTTTCCTTTGATAGAACACTTTAAAAATAAGACAGTGAGGAAGGAAGTTGTTTCTATATTTTCCCCCAGAGCCATGGTTTTTCTGTGCCCTTTTAAGAGCCCTTTCTCTCTTGTCATTGGCCTAATCCAGCAGAACCGTAGCAGGCATGGGAAAGCACTGAGACACAAGGGCATCAACACTAACCTGAGAAGTAGCTGCAGGTGAACTAGTTTCCTTACCACTCACTGCTGCCCTCTCATTGGCTGGGGCTTCTGCCACTTCTGCCGACTGCACATTCGAATCCTCAGAACCAGGAAACCCTATTTGCCCCAGACCTTCGCTCCCTGGGTTGCAAGGTGAATTGCTGGTGGCTTTCCGGGTTTGATTTTTATACCAACTAGGGTAAAACAGGGGATCCGTAGTTTCCGCTGCTGCAGGGGCTGGAGTTTCAGACTCTGTGGTCTGCTGTGAGTCAGTGGACACCACCTCCCCCTTAGTCAGGACAAAGTGAAAAGTAAAAGAGAAGAAGAAGAAGAAGAAAAGCAGTTGATTTTGGAACAGAACAGATGTTAGAACTGTGAGTTTTCTGTGTGCAATGCCTGTTTCAATGATTGGCTTAGTTCACCCCACCTTCTAGAAGTGCTACCAGGCAGAGTGCTGACCACAGAGACTCTCAGGCTGGAATCTGGCTCCTTTCTGGGCTTATCTCTTGTTAGGTATTAACTTCAGGAAGATGGAAAGCAGAAATCTCAAGTGAAAGTTGCTTATTATGGGAGAAGGGTCAAATTATTTGATCAGAATTAATTTGGGAATGTATGTATAGATTCTCTAAACTGCTTTTCTAATATAATAGAAGGGGTGAAATTGATCAAGATACATTGTACTTATAATCTAACTCATGGAATTGTAACCTCTTTGTACAACTACTTAATAATAAGTTTTTCTTTAAAAAATCAATTGTCATCAACCCAGTCCTCATTTAGTTACGACCCTTCTTCTGATTTCAGAGCAACTAGCACACCCAAAAATTCAAGATTCCAGGTGACATCAGTCATATTTAGCCTGAATTCCTGTGGAGACAGAGCATAGAATATAATTCTATCTCCGAGTCCTTCCTCTGGAGTTTCGTTTCTACTAATCTCAATGCATTCTGGAAGAAAGTGCAAAGCCAGAGCCCCTCTCTGGTAAGTCTGAATTGTCCCAAACTCAACAGGATAGATCCTGTCTGAAGTGTCACAAAGTCAGCAGAGAAGCTTAGAAATTGAACCATGGCCTTCTAGAAATATAATAGTAGCTGGCACAATTTTTGTACATTGTGTTTTAAATAAACCTGTTAATACACAATCTTATCAAATGATGTAGAAAACTAGGTTTCATCTGCTTTCCCACTGAGGGCAGGATAGAGTTGAATTACAACACAAATGTAAATCAGCGTGGTTTCTCTACTTATTCTATTATCTACAGAAAATTAGAAGTTATGAAAGTACTTTTATTTCTCATCTTACATTATTTCTTACACTATACCTTGTTGTCTGTATTGACTAAGCAATGAAAAACAGATCAAATTATGGTAGCAGCTAATATGTTTTACACACACACACACACACACACACACATACACACAACACAGAAGCACACTCAATTTCCACACACAAATTTCCTTAGCTCAGAGAGTTATTGGTGGAAAAATTATAAGCCAACCAGTTATCACAACAATGAAGCTGTTGAATCATCTAGAGGACCTTTCACTCTGACACCGTGATGGTCCTGAAATCTTTTGTCTACCACATAAAAGTACTGACATATAGCTTTTTTTAAGGTAGAGGAAATTGTTTAGAGTGTTCAGGAAGGAGGCACAGCAGCAAGAGGGGCTTGGGAATGGTTACCTGTGTCTCTGAGACAGCTGAGGCAGGAGGCAGGATTGGAGGTGGCTCTGGAGAGGAGACCAAAATTGCATCTGGAGCAGCCTGGAGCTCTGAGGCCAGTTGAGAAGGCTCTGGGGCTTTTTCTAGACTTTCCTCTTCTCCTGATGATTCTATTTGAACGTTTTCCACCTCTTCCACTTCTACTTCTTCTCCTTCTTCTTCATCATCTTCATTTTCATCTTCTGGTAAAGTAAGGGTTTTCTTTGTTTGTTTTGGTGGCAGTATTGGGGCTTGAGCTCAGGGCCTGGGAGCTATCCTTGAGCTGTTTTGCTCAAGGCTAGTGTTCTACCACTTGAGCCACAGCTCCACTTCCAGCTTTTTAGTAGTTAATTGAGATAAGAGTCTCATGGATGTTCCTGCTTGGGCTGCCTTCAATCTGTGATTTTCAGATCTCAGCCTGCTCAGTAGTGAGGATTACAGGCTACCAGGCTGTAGTGAGCCACTGGCTCCTGGCTAAGGTAAAGTATTTTTAAATGTATTGTAGCTACTGCTGCAGCCTTAAACATGGTTAGTAGTGCCCTGCTCTCTCTCTCTGCTCTTTTCTAGCTCTTCTCTTTTCTAGCTTTTTTACGATGAATAAACCTACCCCTTACCTGAATAAAAAAGAATGGTTAATAGCCAGATCTTAGAACCAAGACTAAGATTAGGGATAGGGAAGTCTGCTTTCACAGACACTTGAAAATGGCCCTAGTGGGCCATGCTGTGGCCTTGTGCTTCTAATTAAATGTGGAAGGGACATATGTGAAAGACCCACCCCATCTTCCTCATTACAAAGTTCCACCCCCACTGTGAAGCCTCCATCTCGCCCCAGAGCCTGCTCACATTTGTGTCATACCTTATGACTTGGAAGGTTGAGACTGTCACCTGTTTAGCTCTGTCAAATTCAATGAAATATAACCCTGTCTTGGAAGACGCATGCCTGTTTTGATTTCTTATCCCCTTTGTTCAGTGAATACAACTTTTCCCACAATTAGTATTACAGCTCTTCTTGATCTACTGATCTTAATATTTCCTTAGGCAACATTAAGAGTGTTTTTAAAAATTCATTTTAAAGATCGGCTTCTAAAATGATATTCATGGTATATTTAGTGGTCTGGCTGAGCAGTCCAGTTGAGCTAGTTTCATCCAAGTTTGGGTCAGCAATAAAGTGTTCAATCATTTGATCAGTATAAATTTCTAGGAGAGGGAATTTAGAGTTAGAGGTGAAGATACATTTATAATTCATGAAGCACATCTGGCTACATAGCCCCAGCCTTATTCCAGGTTGTTACTACTCTATGACCTGTTACTACTCTTGTGTGGTCAAATTAATATACTACCATAGCTGGTCTTCAGGTCTTCTATGTTTTATTCTTAAAATTTCATCCTTAAGTTTGTTCTTAAAAACACTACCATTGTGCTAACACTTTGTGTCAGGGTGAACTTATCTTTATCATTATCAGTTATTAAGTATTGAGTACTCAGGGTCAAATTCCTGGTAATTATATTAAAGCAGGTATTATGAGAGTTCACACTTGTAAGCCTAGCTACTCAAGGAGCTGAGATCTGAGGATGAAAGTTCAGAGCCAGCGTGAGTAGACAAACTGAGGGACACTTATCTCCAATTAACAAGCAGAAAGCTGAGAGTGAAGGTGTTGCTCAAGTGGTGGAGCAACAACCATGAGTGGAAAAAGCAGAGCAGTGAGATCTTTAGGTCCTGAGTTCAAGCTCTAGTATCGGCATAAAACAACAGTGACAAAATAAACAGGCATTATGACATGAAGGCTATTTACATTCACACTACCAACAAGCTATGTGATCCTGTAATGAAACAGAAGTTCACACTGGATTATAATCCTTGTAAAGGTTCCATTCTGCAGGTGATTCTGAATCCCCCTTTCTACCCATCCAACTCTTCTACAAATGGTCAAAAGAATAACATACCTCTGTAAAAATCAATTTCACGTATTATTTTTTCTTCCCTATTGAGGTTGACTGTGAAGTGATTCATATTCTCATAGCCATGTTCTATCTTCTCCATCTGAAATGCCTTTGATGCTTCTGAGATTCTGAAACATACACAAATTGTCTTTTTTTGTCTCTGTTTTAAGTTTGATAGCCTTGGGTAAAATGAAAAAAAATCTCCTTTTTCCATAAAATAAAAATGACTTACTTTTGCAACAGGGTTTTTGCATTCTGTGAAAGCAAACAGAAGATAGGCTTATTACATTCTTTTCATCAGAGATGGTAGTGAGTCTTAATTCTTTCCTTTGCTGAGAATCTCATAGCTTGGTTTGTAAACATCATAAATAAACTACTGCTTTGTCAGAACCCTCTTCTAAGCAATGCCAAACAGATGAAATTTTAACCAGTAAGATAGATTTTTAAAAAAAGAAATGCAAAATAATGAAAGGTAAAAACAATAAAATGTAAAATAATGAAAATGTGATAACAATGAATTTCCAGCATCCATCTTTTGGGCTGTTTTCTTGGAACTAAAATGACTCACCTGCAGAAACACCGCCATTTCTGGCTCATCCATAAACTGGATTCCTGACTCGACCAACTTTGTGACATTCTCCAAATGATCAGAGTACTTTTTAATGAGAGCACGAACATGTTCCAATTTCTCTTCTTGGGTTCGGGTGATGGCTTGGGTCATCTCATTCTTCCTCTCCTCCAGGATGCCATACAGGTAATCAAACTTTTCACAGAGCTCCTGCTTTTGCTTTCTGCAGCATTCCTGTTAGTTGGGTTAGCTAATGTTAGAAAGTATTTGTGAGAAAGTCTATTTGGAGAAACAATTATATATGTAGGAATTCTTTTTCCTTTCCCATAAGTATAGAAACCTACTGTAGTGATACTTTGAAAATTAGCAAAGTAAACCCAAAGTCTGATCACATTGTCTAAGTGGATTGATGACTTTTCAGTCTTTTGTTCATGATAAATGGAGAATTTCATAGAATATTTTGTTACAAGAATATTTCGTTTTGGGTATACTGACTACAGTTTATATTTTTCTTCATGTGTACATGGTGGGGGACAATGCTACTTCCTCATTTGCCTTTAGTCTTTCTTTTCTCCATTCACTTTTCTTCTTGCCTTAGTTTTAGTCATGCCTGGTAGATTCTGAAGTTTTCTAAGGGCCTCTGCTTTGGGGATTCTATCCTCCAAGTCAGTGCACAGTCTTCAGCCAAATTGGCTTTCTCAGTACAATTCTAGTCATGTGATTTTTTTTTTTTCAATCATGGAGCTTGAACTCTGGGCCTGGGCGCTGTCTAGCGCTTCAGCCCAAGACTAGCGCTCTACCACTTGAGCTATAGTGCCACTTCCGATTTTCTGGTGGTTTATTGGAGATAAGAGTGTCACAGACTTTCCTGCTTGGGCTAGCTTTGAACCGTGATCCTCAGATGTCAGCCTCCTGAGTAGCTAGGATTACAGGCGTGAGCCCCCAGTGCCCAGCTAGTCATGTGATTTTTCATGGTACGGCTCTCTGTTACATAATCAATAACATTTAACCTTCATAAATGGCTTTCAGGACACTCTATGATCTACTCCCAGTTTTCTCCATAAGGTTCTACTATTATCTGTGTCAGACCTTCTCTTCCCTCAACCACTTACTTTCTTCACATCTGTCTACACTGTTTTTCCCTGTCATATTGCACACTTTAATCTTAGTGATGTGGTTGATTTATCACTTTTTCCATATAGATTCCCTGTCTGAATGTCATCTCTAAAGCTTCTGAAATCTCATTTATGGCATAAACTTGTACCTCTGCTTATCCAGTAGTGTCCAAGAGAAAGAGATACTACAGAAATACTGGAAAGAAAGGCTACATTGGACATTTGATTTGCTTGGATGGCTAATACATCTCCAGTGATATCTGGCTGCCTTGGACTACATATTTAATCATGATTAATTAATGTGCCCACTGACCTATTAATGACCTTTGGTTTTCTGAGCTTTGGGGAACTTGGTTATGTTAATCTCCTCAGACTTGACGATTTCTGGATTCAGGATCTTTGCAGCTGAAAGCAGGTTGTGAGTCCCGATAATCCAACCTAGCTCTCTAGCTCAATTATATAGCATCTCTGACCCCTTATGTCACCCCATGTTCTTTCATTTTAGTAAGCACTGATCTCTTTAATGCCATGTGTTTCTTTCCTTGAGTTTCTTTTTTATTTATTTATATTGTGAAAATACTGTACAGAGGGGTTACAATTGCATGAGCAAGGTAATGAGTACATTTCTTATCAAGCATTGTGGCCTCCTCCTTTGTTTCCCCTTACCATCCCTTCCCATCTCACCCCCAAACCCCCTCCTTGAGTTTCTTCGTTATCTGAACTATGGTCTGCTTGAGCATAGAATCTGGGTCTGCCTAGCACACATCTGTTACACAGGAAATCCCTCCCTCATTCCTCTGCCTCTCCAAGCACATAGTCATAGTCAGTTCTCATCTGTTTCTACCCAAACGCTAATGCATGAAGATCCAATGGCTCATGCTTTTAATCCACACTGTTTAGAAGGCAGAGATCTGAGAATTGAAGCTCAAGGTTGGAGGATCAAAAAGTTAGTGAAAACCTAAAGTTATATGCTAAAAGAGGGTAATATGCTGAAAGAGGTGGCTTTTTGAAAGAAAGATGACACTCTTTATATTGAAATGACTGAAAGAGGGCAAGTGGAATATTCGTTTCCAACTAATGTGGAAACTTTCAATGAAAAGGGGAACAAATCAAGCAGCATTTGGCTGTTTTTGTAGAAGCAAGTAGGTAACCTTTAATTCTGATCTGAAGCCATTGTTTACCTGTAGCCTTCACAGAAATTTCAAAAGTGACAGGCTCTGGTTTTAATCACCTTCCTACGTTAATAAATGGAAAACACATGCAATTGCAAAAAGAAGATTTTTGTGGGAGAACTAGATTATCTTGTACTAAAATAATAGCCTGCTGACCAGAGTGCTAACATGCCACCATTTTCATGGCTACATTTTTATTGCTTTTTCTCCCAGTCACACAATGACATTATTTTATTATTCATTTATTTTACTATCTAACTCCTCTACTAGAATAAAAACTGAGAACAGGTGCCATTTATATTTAGCATATCACTATTTCCCAGAGAATGGCATCTAGTGTAAGGTTTGAATGATAAAATATGATTTGCAACTGGAAATATTCTGCCCTATATCAAAAGCTTCCATTTTGTTCTGTTTCAAAGACATAAACACTTAAGTGAATAACCCCTAGATTCTGATTCATCCACGCAAAGAAAACACTGAGATGGAGTTATGCAACCTAGGGAAGCCTCAGGACAGTTTAAAAAAATGATCTGTACAATGAGATTAGAATGGATGATTGCTAATGTACCTTCCGACTCCGCAGTTTCAAGGCAAAAACTCCAAGTAATTGTGGAGATATTTCCAAAAGGTCTCACAGGCTAGCATATGCCTCTATTCTCAGACAGTTTTGGAGTATCATACACAGCTCTAAGACATTCATGTTAGTCTCAGCTTAGGGCACAAGCCATGACAGGAAAAGCCTAAAGCAATTTTGACCAGTGCTTTTACCAAGTACGGGCCACAGATCTGTGACCAAAATAGAAATGAAGATAAACTCTCAGACACACTTTTTGTCACTGAGCAGCTGTGCTTCCCCAGGCCCTTTCATATCTCTACCACATTCCTCCTGCATATGTTTAGACATAGTTATACAAAGCTGTGGCTTCATAGGAAATAGGCTATCTCAAAAAGTCCTACCCACACATTCCCCCAACAAAGAAGAATTGAGCAGAAACTGAAGAAAGAGCTATGCTAATGAAATTAATCCCAGTCTTTTATCTGTAAGGGTCTCATTAACAAGAACTTGGAAGTCCCATACGTGTAATCCCATATACAAATGGAGCTTGTCAGCACAAGCTGAAGGTCTGCCCTTTCCCATCAGCCCATGATCTTGTGCAGTGCTCAGCAGACTACTCTCTTCAGCACCTGTGGCTCCTGGGTCTACCAAACTCATGCTCTTTTCTACAACAATGTGTTGTCCTTCAGTATGAAGAATGATTTGTGTTGTAACTCATGGCCTTACTAATGCTTACTGTTGAGGGCCTTGAAATAGGAGCTTTTCTGGGCTAGATCATTCAGAATCTAAGTAAATTCTAGGAGGACTGAGGGCCAGAAGGCCCATGTATGCTCCATGGTTCAGGAAAGCCACAGAGTAAGCTAAGTAGACGTTTAGATTGCTTTGCCCCTCAGTGGGTAGTCAGCATGCTTTCAGGAAATGCAGTCTCCCTCAGTTGCTAGTATTCTTTGAATAATAATCAGATAAGTTAAGTGCCCATGGTTCATGCCTGTAATCCTAGTTGCTTGAAAGATCTGGAGGTCAAGGTTCTAAATCAGCACAGGCAGAAAAGACTGAGAGTCTGTCTCCAAAAATAGTGAGTAAAAATGGGCTAAAGGGTGGGGCTTAATTGGTAGAGCACCAGAAGAGTGAGCAAGTGCTAAGCTCTGAGTTCAAACTCTGGTACTGGTGGGTGGAAGGTGGGGTTTGTGAATGTCATGGTATCTAGTTCCATTCAACTGTATCTTTTTTGGGGGGCGGGGAGGGGGTCTGGTTGTGGTGCCTGAACTCTGGGCCTGGGCGCTGTCCCTCAGCTCTTCAGCTCAAGGCTAGCACTCTACCAATTGAGCCACAGTGCCACTTCCGGCTTTTTTCTTTTTGCTTATGTGGTGCTGAGGAATCGAACCCAGGGCCTCATGCATGCAGGGTAAGCACTCTACCACTGAGCCAGCCACCAACTGCATCTTTTCCTTCTGGAGGAAGCTGCTCAGCCCTGCTATTACAACTAACCAGACCTTGATAGGCTCCTGATACCATTTAAAGCATGAGACACTGGTTCAAATGATGCTTCATTTGCATAGTTAGGATAAGTGTGAGCCTTCTAGACTGACTTTAAACCTGTGGCAGGTGTCTTTGACCCAGATTTGGTCATCAACAGAATATTATGTAGGTAGTATAATCATCCCTAGTATAAGGCTGAGGATACTGAGGTACAGGAAGCTGAATTCACACACTCCATCTCCCAAAGCAAATTGACAGAGCTGAAATGCAAACTCTGAAATCTGTTCTTTAAGACATATGCCCTAAACACATAGTCTAAAAAGTTCTGGCATGCTTAATGAAAACGATTCTTGTACATTCCTATTGCACCATGTATCAGAGATGAGGAAAAGCAGGTTGGGATTTTTTAAATCATTCTTTTTTTTAATGCAATGGATTTGTTCTTTCAAAATCATTGTCACATTTATTTAACTCATTGCTTTGAGATACTGAAAAACATTCTATTTCAAACATGCAGCATTAATCTTGTAGTGGTATCCCTTAGTCAGGCATTTGTGCATAAATGAGATTCTTACTAGGTCTGCCTTTTCGAGGTGAGGAGAAGCACTACTACTAGTCTGCTCTCTGGTCTATCCAGTGACAGAGGATTAATGCCATTGGTAAGGATGACAGGAGAGGGGTTACATTTTCTAGGGATGAGGAATGAAAGTGAGGCACATTTCCATTATTCCCAGAAAAAAATCCAGAGAGATCCCAAGGGAATTGAAGCAGTAACCTCTTCAGAATATCAGCCCTTCCCAGAACATCACCAGAAAGGTAAGGGAAGCTGTAGACCACCTCCAGTCCATTCAGAGCAGCCCAGGAGCCCTTGGCTAACCTGAAACCCAGACCTCAGGAAAAGTCTTGGGCTAGGCAAGGGAGATAAAAAATACACTTAAGGCTTCTTCACCTATCAACCCACAATGCAGGGGCAAAATACCATTCCCCCTCTGAGACAACTCAGGCTGTCCTTTTGCTATGATCACTTCCCTTTAAACTGTCCTCATTGTCATGCTCAATACATGTCAACTGCACACATCAAGAGGATACCAAAAAGCCCACAGTACGAGTTACCCTAAACTCAGCAATGCTCCCTATGCAGTCCTTTGCCAGGTCTCCCCAGACCAGCCCTGCAAGATGGAATATGCTTAGGGACAAAATTAGGTATGTGCAAAGAATGGGAATGACTGTCATAGGGAAACTGTCAGGACCTTGGGATGAGAGATAATTATGGAAGGAGAGAGCCCACCCTGTCCCTAAGGAGTCTTTCACCAATCAGAAAAGAGAATTATTTAATAACAGCTCCCTCATCCCCAGGAACCACTAATGTCTTCCCAGAAAATGTTTCCAGGCAGATGATAAGTGAAGCCAGAAAGAAGAAACAGGAGACACAGAGGCTCTGTGTCTTGAATCCTACTGAAGTCTCCTACTGTGCAGGGTGCAACCTTGTCATCCAAGCCAAAGATCTGCTTTGTTTCTCATCGTTTTCTCTTGCCACCTTGCAAGGAGTTGTGCCTCTGTAATTTTCCCACTGATAAGGGGCTGGATTTACAGGCAATCATCCAGGGATTTCGGGTGCATGGTATAACTACTTGTGACACTAAACCCTGTCCTCAGAGCCTCTTTAAACAGGCAGGGATCATAAAGTCAGAGACTTTCATGGGGCTTTGAAGTGACCCCTACATCTCCAGATGAGCCATCTAAACTGATTAGAAAGAACTGCTTATCTGGTTCATCACAGTTTACCTTACTGATTTCCTTTCTAAAAAATGTGAAATATAAGAATATGTAAGGAAGGCATTGACAATCATTCTCAGCCCTCTATTTGAATGTTTTAACCTTTGATATTTTCTCTTCCTGATTGGTTTTCCTTCCATGAATATATAGGTTGGGTGAGAATATATATTTTCTATAGTGCTGTGTATGAATGTATGCATCCTATACCATACATATAAGTCTGTATGTGCTATACTTTTTCTTCACTTAAGAAAAAGTCTCAAAACTAAAATAAAAAAATGAGAGCAGTTGAATACCATCATGTATGTAAGTGTGTGTATGTGTGTGTGAGAGAGAGAGATTAAGGGGGGGATTTAACCCAGGGTTTTTGTTTTTTCTTATGTATCCTCCAGTCTCTCCATCCCAGGCAGCAGACAGAAAGCCAGACATCTTTGATAAAGGCCCCACTAGACCAGATATGCATAGGTAGATTACCTCACACACCCACAGTAATAGATTTCTATTAATACACCCAAGACTCAGTGTGGCCCATTGGAGTGCTGATTCATAGATAAGGTTTAACTGTATTAAATAATTAGTATTGTATTAAATAATTATTTAATAATTTGTATCCTATAATGGTTTTCTGTAAACAAATACTAAGAAAAAAGTTTATATTGTCTGTTTTTGAATTGCTTTAGGTTCTTCTCCAAGATAAAACTTTGCTTCTAAAAATGGACCCTATGTAAGCCAGGCCCAAAGAAACATAGGTCCTATGGTTTTCCTTATTTGCAATAACTAGTATATGTCTGAGTCAAGCAGAAAAGGTCAGATAAATTGATGTTAGGGAAATGAACCCTAAGATATGTATTCAAATGTTTTTTTCTTTCATGTGATTGTTTCTAACATATTTATAAGATATTTCTTTGTTGCTTTGTATGTCCCTCCCCCACGGTATAACCCCTGCTTTCACTGTATTGGATATTAGTATAATTTGTGGAGGGGAAGGGAAAAAATAAATCGTTTAAATAGGGATACAGGAGGACCCATTGCAACAAGGAGATGTACAAGTTGTTATGTTGAAAAAGGAACTTTACAACTTTGTTGGGGGGGAGGATTCAGTGGGGGTGCGGGGGGGAGGATGGGAAGGGATGGGAAGGGGAAACAAAGGAGGAGGCTACAATGCTTGATAAGAAATGTACTCACTATCTTGCCCATGTAATTGTAAACCCTCTGTACAATATTTTCACAATAAAAAATTATATGGCCATATATATTGAAAAAAATAAAAATAATAATAAAAATGGATCCTAGGGATTTAATCACAGATATTTTTAGGAAAATGTGTGGAGAATAAAGGAGATTGATTTTCATGATATGTAACTCTGAAATGAGATAATTATAGCTAATGTCTTGAAATCCTCTTCCAGGATATGGCCTTTGGCTTTTAATAGAATTCGCCTTTGGAATGGTAAAATAATAAGAATAGCTAGTATCTATCAACTACTCCTTATTGGCTTGGCACTGTATCATGTTCATTTAGTTCCTTACAGTAACCCTATAAGGTAAGTACTGTGATAATGCCCTTACAACAGAGGAAAAAACTGAGGTACTGGATGTGCTTGTAGTCATATGAATGTATCTGTAGGAAACAATGCTTAGTTCAAGTAGCAGAACGAGAAATATTGTACAATACCATTTATAAAATTAATAGGCATGCATGCACACATACAATGCAATTTAAATTTTATGAGAAAACAGACCAACAGAACATCAAATGTCATCTATGAGGAGGCTAACAGAGAAGAGGGTTCTTGCCCAGCAACGAGAGCAATGTCACAGGAATTGAGCAGTCAATGCTGCAACCCTCTTCCCTCAGTCAGACAGATCCTTCTCCTGTAGTTCCCATAAAGCTGTTGTGAGGGCTCAGGTGTGCAGCTCACATCTGTACCTAATTTCCTAGAGCAGTAACGAGCACTTCTTCAGACTAGATGTTCACAAAGAAAGTTCATTAGAATAGCAACAATAATCCTTCCTGCTTCCAGGAACTGATTTTTCTGTTGCTAACCTTTCAAAATGAGTTGTCCAGAAAGAATAACACCTATAAGTATAACTGGAATAATTTGGTAAAAATCTGTCCCATCTATTCATGTGGTAAGTTCTTCGTACATGTCAGAAAGTGACTGTCTCACAGTTGTATCAGGAAGAAGGAATTCTATAAGGAAAGAATGAAATGTGGAGATGCTTGGTTTAGACTCTCTGGGAGTCTCCTGACTTACCTCAATAGTTTTACAGGTGTCCTCCAGCTGGCTGATAATGCCCTGGACTCGATCATTGCTTCCCACAAGGACAGCGATGCCATCACTGAGCTCCGACTAATGAAGAGAAAAGAGGACTTGAGATAGTCGGGATTGTCTAATCCCCACTGGATTTGTCATTGTATGATCCTTGTGGAACCCTTAATTTAGAGCCTTGTGAGCCTGTGAGGACCCTGTGGGACTCCAAACAAACTTTCGCATTAAATGCATTTCTGTGGGAAGAGCTTCCACAGCTTTCATCACATTCTTACTGGAGACTGTGACTGTTAGAAATGCAAAGAACCCTTACTGAACATTGAGACCAGTATATGTGAGCTCAAAAATTTTAACCATTGTTAAGTGGATAGAGTCTAATATGTGCCTTTAGGATCCCAAAATGAATTATTTCTCTAGTGTAGTGCAGGACCAGTTTTACTTATATATACACACAAACATATATGTCTGTATAGTAAACATTATTTTTTTCCCACAAAGCCTTTTTATGGGACTACTGTGCTAATATGATGTGTCTGCAACAAGCACTCACTAGACTAAGTCACTGCAAACCTATGCTACGGTTTTAGGAGGGAAATTTCAACTCAGAAATTCCTCTGTTCTTTTGGCCCATCAAGTGTCATAGTTACCCTCTCCCAAGGCTGGCTATGGGAGTGATGGGGGGCACAGAATGGGGACTTGGGAATCTGTATTCCTGCTTCAGCTCTGCTCTTCTCTATGATGTTTGTAATCAACTTGAACTTTTTCTCATATTTAAAGGGAGAGGTATGGACCAATACAGTGGTAGTAAATCATTTGCCAGCTGCAGAGCCCTATTATATCAAAATGAAGCTGCTCTAATTAAACTAGAGGAGTGAAGGCAGTGATTCCCACTTTGTGTCCTTCTAGCCATGCTATGGGTTTCCATGTTTCTGAGGGAAGCAGTATGAAATGGGTACCATCCAGCTTTAACATGCTAAGGCTTGGGAGTCGGGGGATGAGGAGAAGGAAAGAATAAATAAAAACTAAATTGAAAATAAATAAATGTAGATATCTTGCAAGGAGTGATTATTATTATTATTGGATTATTATTATTACTATTATTAATGGTGATACTAAGGAGGCTGATTTGATTTTGCCTCTGGTCTTCACAGTAAACTACTGATTTAATGTGGAATTGATTATTTTACCTGGATTAGAGGATCTGCTTAGATTGATTATTAGAATTGATCATTCTACATGGAATAGAAGATTTGCCTATATTCTCAGTGCTAGGAGCTGCTCATCTGTTGGCCCACCAATCATATTTTTCTCCGCACCAGAGGGTAAGTTTTGACATCAGGTTAGCAGATTGGTGACGAGTGGATGAGAAGGCTGCATGTTGTCAGAGTGGGTAGACTGTGGCTGTGGTTCTGGGATAAGAGATGTGTGTCACACCTTTCAGCAACTGGCCTAAGCAATATGAAAGTAGAGTCTTGAAGATGCTCCATAGCTACTTGTCATTATTATAAGTCAGCCCTGCAAGGAGTGGGTGAGAAATGGTCTTGAAGAGGCCCATAGGGAACCTTTTTGGGTGAATGGCCAAAGTATTCAGTGATTGAAATTTTTTTTTAAAAAAAGTATTCAGTGACTTGGGCCTGCACTTAACACAGCTTGTCTTCAGAAACCTTCAAAGGGCACCGAAATTGGTGATTCTGCTGGGTGCTATTGGCTCAGACCTGTATTCCCAGCAATTTAGGAGGCTGAGATCTGGGGATTGTGGTTCAAAGCCAGCCCTTGTATCTCCAATTAACTTTTATCTCCAATTAACAAAGAGCTGGAAGTAGAGCTATGCCTAGAGTGTTAGTCTTGAGTAAAAAAGGCTCAGGGACAGTGCCCAGGCCCAGAGTTCAAGCTCCAGCACTGGCAAAAATAAAATAAGAAGGTAATTCTGACCTAAACTTTTTCATGAACCTTGGCATCCTCACCTTTCCTAGACTTCCCTTTCTTCCTGCAGGGAATCTGATGTGGTCTCATGCATGCATACCGACTGCAGTGTCCCTTTTGACCCACTTTCCAGTGTCCTGTGGCCCTGCAGGACTCAAGCTCTTCCTTTCCACAGTAGGACGAGGATGCACCAGCACTTAGAAGAGCTGAAAGAAGTGGCTAGAGTGGCTCCTACCTTCTGCCTCTGGAACACGTGAGTAAGCGGAGCCACCTGGCAGTCCTTGTGGGCACCAAACACCTTGCAGAGGGAACAGGTGGGCACTTCACAATTGAGACAGTAGATGTTGATGCGTTCCTCTTCATGATCCTCGCACATGGGCTGATCGGACTTCTTTTCTGGCCTGGGAGGAGGTAGGCAGATAAAGGCCCATTCATTTCTACTGGGGCAACACAGAGACAGGTAACTTGCTTTGCTGACCCCAGCTTGTCCCTTAACTTCACAATCCTTTGCAACAAGACTTCCAGGGTCCCTTTCATATGTTCACCTTCTAAGCTTAACTTCCATACAAGTTTAGTGGTGGGTGCTGACAAATCTCTAACATGTTGATTGGAGTGCGGCTAAGCCAGAGACTGGAGTCCATTTAGTGACAGATGTCACAGGTGATTCTAGAGTAGCTAATTTTCCTTCAGCATTTCCTGAGGGCAGCTGAGACCATGTGTTGGTCAGATATAAGCAGCAATGACCAGAGACGTAAGAGTACAGGTGTTTTCTGGCTTTGCAGATAATCAACACATGGAAGCCACCACAAGGCTCCATTTAATTTCTGCTTGCTAATCAATGTCTTCCTTTCCATGTTATAATATCCACTGCGAGCTGTTTCCTATATCCCTTAGTAGGTTTTTCTTGTTTTGGTGGCAACACAAGCCTTGAGGCACCACCCACTTATAAATAAGTACACAAAGAAAACATCTGGACAACTTTTGACAACAGATTTGGAACAAACATTGCTTACATTTTTTAATTATGATATGAAAGTGGCTGAGTTCACAGCTGAGGTTTGGGGCAGGCTGTACTACAGGAATCTACAGCCTGCTCTCTCCAGTCTCTGACACTGTTGCAAGTCACTTACTGAGGGATAGCACCTTGTCTTGGTGAAGCAATGCCTGCAGGTAGTGCCTTTATAGTTAAAATGACCTTAAAGCTTAATTCCAGCCCAGCTTCTCCATCTGGTATTTATGTGGTAGCCTTGGGTAAGTCACTTCACCTCTTTGGCCTTAACTTTTGCTAGACTCTAGAACTTGTTCTAAGTGTCTCCTATTTGGCAGAACAAACCAATATTTCACTATTTTTTTTCTGGCTGAAATCCCACTAATGTGAGAATAAGGAAATGAAAAGGTATAAAGCAATGACAAAAAGTGAGCACGATGACAGCAAAATAAAGATATCTACAAAATGTTGTAAACTGGGAACATCTGGATGAAAAAAGTTGCTTACTTGATTTGTATCTTAGTCTTGCTAAGCATCCACAGCAGGGGGAATCCTAACTTGAGCTGTGGAGCTGTGCAAAGATTCTATAGTCAGTGTGTTCAGGCAACATCCTACAAGGTATACTGAAGCTAGAAGTGTGAGCAAAAAAAATGAAAAGTAGTGGACTTCGTGCACACATGAGAGATTGAGGATGTGCTCCTAACAACAATAGAGCAAGCCAATAAAGAAGAAAACCTGGGATCCAGGAAGCCAGGTGTTTGGCCCAAGGAACAATGAAGGAAATTCCCAAGTAGAAGGTAGAATCCAGCCAAGTGAGGACTCTGTCTTCTACAGTGGGGTGGAAAGCGAATAGACTATGTCTACGATTGGTATAAACAAGAAATAGAAGCATAATGATAATACACAGATGCCATTGTTGATAACCCACATCTAGAGGAATGAAAAGTGGTTGAGTTTGAGAAGTAGCATTTGAGGGCATGAGAAAGTAGGGAGGAAACTAAATTTTCATTATAGGCTTTGTAGTACTGTTTGAATTTCACAAAATCCTTATGCTACTTACAATCACAAAAACATTACAGGTCTTTAATAGGATGATACTGCTAATAATCACCACCTCAAAGGATTGTTGGAAAATTAAAGAATTGTACATGATTCACATGTAAAGCATTCTGAATAATATCTAGCACAGGGCATATAATAGTTTTACTTACTATTGTTTGAAGTTAATGATTATTATGTTCATTATCAATATTAACATTAACCTAATTAATGACTTTCTAACTCCATAAACTGTAGCTAGTTCAGGATTACAGGATTCTAGATTTGTCTCTAGGTCTTCTGTATGAGGTTAGAGATAAGAAATAAGCAGTACCTCATAGTCCATTATTGATATTTCCTCCCCTTTCCGTTGACATCTTCAATCACCAGAGAGGGACTTATGGTACTTTATATAGCCAAGGTTATTCCAGGGTCATCTAATGTATCCTGAAGCCTCAGAGTTCTGGTCTGCTAAGGCTGCCAGACTGTTTGGAGCAACTGGTTGTACTCAGACATGTGACCAAACCCTCTGAGCAACCTGTGGTTTTGCTACCAAGTTAAAATGTCCCAAAAAGGCAAGTCTCAAGTTGATGAAACAGCACATGAAAAGCTTGATAATCATAAACACTGCCATTCTATGTACCTTATTGTTGAGAATTTGGTATATAATTTTTATGCAATTTGCTTACATTTTTGACACACTCTACTAAACTGACTTCTTAGTTAAGGTAAGGATGTCTTGTAGTTTTACTAATACTACAAGTTTCAACATCTCCTCTTCCCTAGATTTTAATTCAAATATTATTATTTTTCGTGTCTCAAGTTCCCACTATGGTGAGCAATGAGACAGAAAATTATTGCAATAAATAGAACACTCATTGCTGAAAGAGCTGAAACTGTGCAATGACTATTCTGTGCCAGGCAATCTATTAGGTACTGAAACAATTGTCATGTAAATTCCTTCCAACAATTAGTTGGTTATTAATTGGCTAATTAAATTTTTAAGAGACAATGTGGGTATTTGCATTTTAAAATAAAAAGAGCTGATCTGTGCAGGGACAAATACTTACCTTCTTAAGAGATTTTTTTGGAAGCCAAGAAACCAGTGGCTATGATCTCTACAATATGCCATCAGCAATTCTTCCTCAATTCCATCTATATCCTGGAACTATGTAATTTAGCTTTGAACCTTAAGCAGAAACTAATACCCATGATAAGTAGAGTAATTGCATGTTAGATTCACAGAACAGCTTTCCTTCTGAGAATGCAAGGCTCCAAGCCCTCTGCAGATGTTCCATAAACACATGACCCCTAATAAGAATCGCAATGAGTCCATTTCAGACAGTCTCCATATTCCTACCAGCACTGTACACTGGACTGATGTGTATACAGTGGAAAAAGGACCCTCATGCCATGCTTTCTAGGAATATATCCTTATAGTGTTGCCTCTAGGAAAGGAACTCTGCTGCTAGTATGGCACAGTGAATATGAAGTCTCAATTATTTTTAATGAATGACTGCATATTTCATATAAACCAGTCAACAAATGAATGCAAGAATATTCAGTAAATATAATTTAGGGACCAGAGAAACAACCTGAACTATATCTCTTCCCCCCACATTTCTCTAAATTTCAATAGCCAATAGGATAATAAACTGTCACAGGATTTTTAATGTATTTTTAATCTAGACAATTTTAAGGCAGCACTGTCTGAACTCGGAACTGGTCTATAAAGTTTTATACTAGAATTTTACTCCTATGTAGGATCTGGAGCTACAAAGGACCTGTGATCTGCAAATCTGTCAAAAAAGACAGGGCCTTAGTGAGAAGGCTTTTTCAACATCACCATCTTGGTTGATGTTGATGAGTTACTTTATTCTTAAGTAAAAGGAAAGTACAAGTACCAGCTCCTTTCTTTCCTCCCATAAGCAATTCTAGGGTCCCATTGGAAGGACTGACTTAGAAAAACCTTTTTCTATGACACAATTGATCTGTGATTGGTAAGCAAGCATTAGTAAGCCATTAAAACAAACAAACACAAGCATAAAATGATGTGGTATGAAAAGAGCCTTTACCTGGTGGACTCCTGCTTGTAGATGTCAATGATGTTTTCTACCAGCAGGTTCCTCTGAAGCCCATACACTCCATGTCTATCCAAAACCACTTCATGTCTACAGGAGGGGCAGCGAAATCGTCCCCCTGATGCCACGGTGGTGCCTCCTCTTGTGGGTAAGTAGGGGTTCGAGGCCTGTTCTTGCCAAGCAATGAAAGAGGAATTGAGTCATGCCACTGGGAGCTTTCTCTGAAACTTGTTTTATACTCTGTGTCTATAAACGACATGAACTACTACTTCAAGCTTGCCATGAGATCATCCCTCAGGACTTTATTGCAAGTAGATCCTGAAACACAGGCCTAGCCATGATCCATGGCCATCTACAACACACCATTGTTAACACAAAGGACTTTTCCATCTGGTATTTTCATAACTATAAGTTTCAGTCAAAGCTTTAACATGTTCATATCTTTAGCTGTAATTTTATTTTCAGTTTTGAAATATATTCAGTGGTGAGATTATTAAAATAACAAACACCATCTTCAGAATTAAAACACACTTGAGAGGGAGGATAGGGTTGACAACTAAACACAAAGAAAATCTTTCAAATTAGTTGAAAGGAAATGCAGCCTCATAAAGCTTTCTAAAGGAATCTGACTTCAACCTAAACTCTGGGTTTAGAAATGGAGAGAATCTTTCCACACCCTCCCCTCCAAATTCCAAACAAACTTACCTGGAAAATGTCACTGGCACACTTCCTGCACAGGTTATGCTGACAGGGGAGAATGACCACGGGTTTTGTGAACATCTCTAGGCAGATGGGGCAGATGAGTTGCTTTTCCAAGTTATCCATAGTCTGCTGCTCTTTGGAAAAAGACTTGTAATTCAGAGAAGTGCTCATCTCCTGGCCGTCCCTGAATGTGCCACCAGGGGAAAGGAGTTCAGAATGGCTTCTGTAAGTGTTTCCTGGAAATAATTCCCAGGATTGTATGATCAAGTGTCCTTTACATTTCTCTCGGTGGAGGACATTGTTTCAGGCCCTGGTTCCCAGTGGGTGAAGGAGCTGTTTTTAGCAGCCCAAGGTCACGTGACCATGGGCTGACTTGTCCATATAAGCCAGTGACAGGAGGATGGATTCTGACAGGTGACAAAGAACAGCAGTCAACATTCTTGCCCTCTGGAGTAAAGAGAGTGGGTGGGAAGGAGGATTACAAACCCCATTTAGATGGGGGCTTGCAGAGGGAAGGAGGTGGAAGCTGACAGTTGTCAACAACAAATGCAAACGCGTTTGCCTGGTGCCTGAGCCAGGCCCTCTGTGAGCAGTCAATAAGAACCTGGTGACAGGCTTCTACAGGAAGCGGGAGAATGCAGCCTAAGAGTCTAAGTATAATGAACTCCATTTCTGGCTTGAGAGTTTAGGAAGCGAATCACCAAAAGTAACATGATAGTGCATTCCTAGGTGGAAACAAACAAAACACCATCAAGTTAATCATCTTGCCTCTATACAAGCACTATCTAAAAAGACTTATTTAATATTAAATATTTCATCCTTATGAAAGTTGTGATCTGGGGGAAAAATCCAATTTAAAAGCTGAATTCAAATCCTTTCATCATAAAAGTGTATCCAAGTCAGGCGCCTGTAATCCTAGCTACTCAGGAGGCTGAAATCTGAAGACCAAGGTTCAAAGCCAGCCTGAGCAGGAAAGTCTGTGAGACCCTTATCTCCAATTAATTAGTTAAAACAAAACAAAAAAAAGCTGGAAGTAGAGCTGTATATCAAGTGGTAGAGTGCTAGCTTTGAGCACAAAAATTCAGGGATAGCACTCAGGCTCCAGTTCTAGCCCCAGGGCTGGCACAATAAATAAATAAATAAATATACTCAAAATTTAAAGAAATTTACTAGTAAATAATGAATTTTTTCTAAGTTGTGTTTTAAAATCTTAGTACAGTTTTTTCCTCTTCCACATTGCTTCTTCTCTAGCTCTCTCTCTAACTTTTCCATCTAATACCTTCCACCACACATAAAGACAAAAACAAAAAACAAAAAAAGGATAATCTTTAAAAAATTAGTTTGCATCCATAATCTATAATGAAGTGGTCACTGATACAAAGATAAAAGACCAACATTTTCACTTGGCCATGCATTAGGTTACAACTATCAATGTTTTTGACAACTAATGCTCATGTTTGATCGATCCCCTTCTGAAATACCCATGCAGTTGACCCTTCTTCTAAGGTGATTTTAAAAATGATAGCTTCTCTAATCATTTCTGACATTGTTGGTCTATTCTTGAGTAAAAACATAGGATACTATATTTGTCATGGTTTTGTAAAACATATTTATTCTATTTAAAATTTCTGAATCAAACAAGAAGAAAGAGGAGGAGGAGGAGGAAGAGGAGGAGGAAGAGGAGGAGGGAGGGAGCAGGAGGAGGAGGAAGAGGAGGAGGGGGAGGAGGAGGAGGAGGAAGACGAGGAGGAAGAAGAGGAGGAGGGGGAGGGGGAGGAGGGGGAGGGGGAGGAGGAGGAGGGGGAGGAGGAGGAGGGGGAGGAGGAGGAGGAGGAGGAGGAGGGGGAGGGAGAGGAGGAGGAGGAGGAGGAGGAGGGGGAGGAGGAGGAATCATGCTTGTTTTTAAGGTGATGAATTTGCGTTCTGTTTCTCCATGATTTCAAAACCTTCACCAAGAATCCATTCTGCTAACTATGCCTAGTGTTTACTCACATTGCCAATAAAGGGTAAGTCAGTGTGACTGGGGATGTGTGTTCATAGTGCTGTGTGCACAGACCACTGATCGACAATCTAGTAAGCTCTATTACTAAATAATAAGTTATATGTATTCATAAACATTTCAGGGATCTTTGGAGGATTCTCTTAATGTGTCCAATATTTATTTAGCATCTATGGTGAGGAAGGGAATTGGTGAAATTTTCTCACTGAATTCATCTAGTCACCTAGCCTGGGCAGTTAATTTCTGTTTATCATGGAGGCCTGAGTACACTATAGGTGGTATTTTCTATGAAGGTTTCTACCATAAAAATAAAAGACTTTACAATCTTTACAATCTTGTATCTGTCAGGGGTCCCAGAGGAACATAAACTATAAAAACACATACATAATTATAAGTGGAATTTATTTGATTGGTTTACATGATCAAAGCCAGGGTAGTCCCTAATGGTTGTCTACTAGTTTTTCTATTTTTATTTTAAAATCTTTTTTTTATTAAGATACAAACAAGCACACAGTAGTCTAGATTTCTTTATACTATGAATGTGCATAATGCATTTCATGTGACATTATGACGGCTGAGACATCATTAGATAATATAATCTTATGGGAATACCATTGAATATGCACTCAGCTCTATCAGTGACTAAAATGTTGTGTAGCAAAATTGTAGACTATAGCAGAGCCTATTCTGATAGGAAGAATTCCTTCCTTCAAAAAGTATTTATTAGCCAGGCACCAGTGACTCATGCGTATAATCTTAGCTTCTCAGGAGGCTGAGATATGAGGATTGTGGTTCAATGCCAGCCCAGGCAGGAAAGTGAGACTCTTATCTCTCATCGCCAATTAATCATAGAAAAAAAAAGCTGGAAGTGGCTCTGTGGCTCAAGTGGTAGAGTGCTAGCCTTGAGCAAAAGAGCCCAGGGACAGTGCCCGGGCCCAGAGTTCAAGCCCCAGGACTCACTTTCTGCCCCCCCCCCAAAAAAAAGGCTTTTATAGGGAGCCAGGGACTGTTGGCATGCTTGTAATATAAGCTACTCAGAAGGCTGAGATCTGAGGTTCACAGTTTTCAGCCAGCCTGCAAAGGAAAGGTTGTGAGACTCTTATCTCCAATTAACCACCAAAAAGCTAGAAGTAGAGCTGTGGCTCAAGTGGTAGAGTGCTATCCTTGAGCTAAAAAACTCAAAGACAGAGCCCTCAGTTCAACTCCTAGGACTGGCACCAAAAGAAAAAGCATTTATTTAATATTTGTCCCCATTAAAAGGTAAACAAGATACAAGTCATTATCCCAAGGAGCTCAGTCTAAATAGAGGTAACAGCCATAATACAAACCAAAATAGTAAAGGAAGATTTCAGAGTGGGAGATATGAGGAAGGCTTCATGGATGAGGGGCTTTTTTGTTTCTTTTTTAAGTCATCTACTTAGGAACTAAGAGGGATGGATATGCAGTTTGGTAGGCTTTCCAGGGAAGGTAGAGAAATAGACATGGAGGTGCAGGCATGAGGGAGTCTCAGAGGATGTGGTGGTTTAGCTTGGTGTTCAGGGCACATTGCAGATGCATTAGCAGGCCATGAATACTGGACTCGAGTTTTTAACACATAATAAATTAGACACCAGGAAGTTGTTTAAAGGTTCTTACAATGCTGCTTCCATGAAAGCGTGTGTTGGTTGGGTTAATCTTGCAGTGGTGCTGGGGGGAGTGGGGGGAATGACTGAGGTGACCTGGCTAATGGCCAGATTGGAGGCTGTTTCCCATAGTCAAGTGAGAGCTCACCAAGTCCTGGCATGGGTGATGGCACTGGGGAAGGAGAGGAAGAAATAAGACTCTGGGGTTGGTATGGAATCCACAGAGATGACTCAGCTGTGAGCCACCAGTGATGACACAGGGAGGGTTAGAGAATGAGTCAGGAGCTGCTCTTCTCTGGCTTCCTGTCTACCTCACTGTGTGCTTTGGGGAAATGGCTTCACCAGGCTGGACTTCAGTCATTTCATCTAGAAGTGAGTGGAGTGCATCACTAACTTAGTATTTGTAGATTGAAAAAGAATGAGTCTCTGAAACTTTTGGCACTGTCAATCCCACATTTCATTATTTGCTGTAGATTTTCAGCCTTCTCTCTTTTTCCTCCCTTCTCATTTGCTTTCTGTCTTCCAACTTTTTCTTAGCACTGTGTGTGGTGGCTACAAAGGGATATAATAAGCCATGTCATGAATAATACATAGATCCCCCTCCTCATCCTTTGCTAACTATTCCTCCTTCTTTTTTTTTTTTTTATTTTCTTTTTTTTTTATCCTCCCCCCTATTCCTCCTTCTTAAATACCAACAAGTAATCTATGGAATGGGTGTAAGCATTGCGAGCAGAACACAGGGAGACTAGTGCTCTGCTTTAGGAAGGAACCAGAAAATGTAGGTCTACTTCATCAGAGTCTAGGACACAGGGACCACTCTAGAATTTACTCAGAAATTAAGTCATCTTCAGGGCTCTGCAATTTGAAGTGCACAGGACCTCTACAAAGTCACAAAAACCAGCACAATGACCTGGAAGTCACTACTCCCTCCTCTTCCCTTTCCCAACTGTCAACATACCTTAAGACAGGGCTTGAAATTGGTGGAGTAGTTATACAGAGAGCTGATGGTGTTTGAAGCCCTCTTTGTTCTTCATTCCTGAATCCTCCAATCTGGGATAAGGGTCTGTTTAGAGACAGTGAGAAACAGAAGCAAAAACACCACTATTCTCTCCTCTTCAACAGCTCTTGGTCCACCATATAAATCTGGGAAAATATTGTGGGTCCCTAAGAAGATGTATAGGCATCTAGGTACATTTGATATTAAGATATATCAATAAGATGGGTACTGGTGGTTCATGTCTGTTAATCCTAGCCTCCCAGGAAGCTGAAATCTGAGAATTATGGTTCAAAGCCAGCCCAGAGAGGAAGAAAGTCCATGAGAGTCTTATAACCAATTAACTGCCCAAAAGCTAGAAGTAAAGTTGTGGCTGAGTGCCAGCCTTGAGTGAAAAATCTCTGAGACAGTGCCAGATCCTGAGTTCAAGCCTAGTACTGATGTAAATAAATGAATAAATAAATAAAATGATAATTTATTATATAGTAATATACATGTATGTTAATAGCTATTTTTATATATTGAGACATATGTGTGTATCTAAATAAAAAGAGAAAGAGTCTGACCTTTTAAAAACTCTAGCTACCAGACTAAATGGAAGCAGGTTTCATGAATAGTAGGAGGGTCAGGTTATATGAAAGACATGGAGCCTTACAGAGCCATTCTGACACTAAACTACCAGCAGGTAGGCCAAA